GTTCTTCTTTCTCTGCAAGTACTAATAGACTTTTTAAGACTTCACTCATACTTAAGCTATTACTTTCTTTATTTTGCAAACTTGTTTGGCCATTGTAGTGGTAGCTAATAGAATATACTTTAATTTAGATAATAGTACTATATTGTTTATATATACTATCTGATTGACTAATAACTTTTTCATTCTTAACATGCTTGTTATACTGCCTACTACTTTTCTGCACTAGCTTATATCTGCTTTTTCTTGGTTTTTAAGATTAATTTAAACCTCTAAAAATCTTGTACTTTTTCCTATTTTCTTAATTTGATATACTCTAATAGTATTTCTATCCAAATACTATCTAATGCCTTGAATTTTATATCTGATCTCTATGCAATTATTTCAGATTTGCTCCATTGATCTCTATATTATTCAGCTTAAAGAACTCATTAAATATATTTATAATATTCTGTAATAAGTCTTTAGATGATGTGATCTATGTAGTATTATTTGTGTAGACTAATACTAAGACCTCAATAATTTCCTTCTTTGAAATATTTTTACTTATATCTGATAGCTAATTCAGATATATTAGTATCTAAGTTTTGCTTGTTGTATATATACTAGTAGTAGATCATAAAAAATTCTCTACATCAGAGGTGAGATAACTTCCTCTTGTTCTATTTCATCTTTTGTTATAAAGAAACTTGTTGGTCTACTATTCATGATTACTCTGATTTCATGATCTTTGTATAGGTGCTTAATGAACATGATTAGCTTTTTAGGAAACTTTATCCTTTTCATAACAAGTTCAAGTGCTATTATATTAACTGAATTGAATACTTTTCTCATATCTTAGAATGCTATCCAAAGTTCATTATTTTTTTGTTTAGCATCTTTGATTACATTATTTAAGATATATATTAGGACTATTATACCTTCTTTAGATAATCTTACAAAGTTTACATCTTTAAGTATATTCTTTTAACTTATTATTTTGTATAGTCTTTTTTGAACAATTCTCTGAATAGCTTTCTAAAAGTTTCAAGTAACATAATAGGTTATGTAGCTGCTAGATTATATTTCTAGTTAGTACTCTTTGAAATTTAATAGATTTAGCTAAGTTTCTACTTCTTTAAGAACTTTTCTTCTAAAATAACTCTGTTTGCAAACTTTATTAGTTGTCTTTTGCTTTTATTGTTTACGTTTTTAATTAGCTTATAGCCAATACCTGATATTTCTAATACAGTATCTTTTTGTAGTATATTTATTACTTCATTTTACTCTTTTTCTATAATTTCTTTTATAACTAGTTTGTACTATTCTTTTTTAATACTATTTTGCTCTTTGTATATTTCTTTTCACTTGTTATCTATTTTATTGAATTTATATTCTCTTTATCTAAACTGATCCTGAAAATGTCTCACTACCTTTTCCTTAATCTTCTCTTCTTCTGTTTTTAATGTTATATTCATGAACTTTTTCTTACTATTAACTAATACTTTGTCTAAAACAATTTTGCTATAGTATTATTCTAATAAGCTATTAAGTATTTTCTTTAGATTTGCTATATCTATTATGAATCTTCTTTTGATATATTTACTAATTTCTTTTTCTTTCTCTAATTTAACTTCTCTTCTTGCTTTTTCTCTTAGTATATTCTACTATTCTTTAATTTCTTTGTACTATTCTTTTTTCTACTTACCTTGTAGCTCAGATATTTGTGTATTGTATTTACTATTTTGATACCTAATTTATGTATTGTAGAGCATTTTATCTATTTCTTCTATGCTTTTCTTCAGACTACTTATTCCCTTTCTAAACAATTTTCTGAGTATCTTTGCTTTGCTATATATTAATAACTTTAATATTTCTTTTCTAATCTAGCTCTTTGTATTTTGTATCTTCATTGATAGGATATACTTATTTGCTGCTACTATAATTGCTTTTACTATTGTATTCCAACTATCATCAATACTTTTCTTTTCTGTATTTTCTCTTTTACTATTTTGTTTTTCTTGTTTTCTTTTTACACTTTGAAGTATTTGTTTTACTTTATAACTATATGCTTCCTAATCTTCTTTTGTAGCTTTGTTGTAATGATATATTCTTCTCATTTCCTTTTTTTTTTTTTAGTTTCTTACTTTATTTTTTTTGAACAAATCTACACTATTTATTTGTAGTCAAACTATATTATAGTCACTATCTGTTATAGTTTTTGCACTTTCTATATCACTTTTTGCAATAAATAGTTTTAGATCCTAACAACACCAAATATAATCTATTTTTGTTACAACTCTACTATTTAATCATAAGAACTTGATTGTATCAGAGTTACAAAAATAAAAAGTTTCTATATGATCTATTTTTTTAAACCACTTTATAACTTTTGAATTAGTATATAATGTTCTTTTTTCTTTGCTACTTGTATCTAATTCTCTATTAAGTACTATATTAAAATTACTCATGATGATATAAAACGTGTTTTTTTTGTTTTTAACTATTTCTTCTAAAATTATTTTATGGATTTTTTTAGCAATTTCTTTATTTTTGAGTAGTATATACACTACTCAAACTTATAATATAACCTTTCTAAAATAGAATTCTGCTTTAAATAAATATAGACTAAATTTTTTACAAGCTCCTATGTGGTCAAGTTTACTAGTAGTCTGATTTTTGAATCTTTGTTCTTGTTTCTCTTAGTATCTGATCAGAAGCTCCTATATCTATTATTCTCTATATTTAACCATTTTTGCAAATATTAGTTTTAATGATTCTTATTAAGTTAAATTGCTCTTCTTTATAATACTCAACTAGTCACTCTAGTTTTAAACAATCTTCTTTTAGTCTATTTATATTGTATATTCCTATTTTAATTTTTTCTTTCCATTTACTTTTTACTATTATCACTAGTCAAATATAAGAAAATTGACTGCTGATTAAAATAGCTGATTTGACCTAAACTCGACTATCGATTAATTACTAATTTTATACTGAATATTATTAGCAAATCAGTAGATAATTGATAGTCAATTGCTAATAACATTCAGTATAAAATCAGTAATTAATTGATGATCAAGTTTAGATCGAATCAGCTATTTTAATCAGCAGTCGAAAGTTATAATAAATTGACTTATAATTGAATGTCAAAAGTTATAATAAAATTGACTTATAATTGACTGTTGAATAATTTAATAAATCAACTATCGATTTATTAAATTATTCGACAGTCGATTATAAGTTGATTTTATTATAACTTTTGATATTCGATTATAAGTCAATTTATTATAACTTTCGACTGCTAATTAAAATAGCCAATTCGACATCCAAATTCTGGATTAGTTTAGAATTCAGATATCGAATTTTAAAAAGCAAATTAATACTGAATATATTACTATATACAAAGCTTGTTTATTAATAAATTATATATTTTTTATTAGAAAAATAAAAAAAAATAGATAAAAAAGATTTTCTAAAAGGTTAAACTCTCTGCTTCCTTTTCTTTTGCTGTTCCTCTATGAAATCAGAAACTAGTCTTTTATCACTTCTTTTTTTATACCTCTATTTCTCTTCACTATCTTCACTATCTTCACTTTCAGAGTCTCCTTTTTTACTGCTACTTCCCTCATCTTCTTTCTCTTCATTCTCCTCATCCTTATTCAAATCGCTATAATTACTTCTATCATCTTTAACCTCACCACCTACTGCCCAATTAGGAACATTTTCAGGCCAGTCTGCTATCAGTATATGTAATGCTTGATGAAAACGTCTGTGTTTAGTTTGCATAGATATATCAAGAATATTATGTAACAGGTTAGTTAACTATTAAAATAAATAATTAAAATTAAAATTTTATGTAATTAATAAATTAAGATTCGATGTATTAAATTTTGTTATTTAATTGATATTTGGTGTGTCGAATGATATACTATTTGATGCACTGAATATCAATCAAATAGCAAAATTCAATATGTCAAATTTTTACTAGTATAATATAAAACAAAAAACTTTTTTAACCTCCAAAACAAGCTATGAACATTAACATATATCTAATTGTACTCATCCTTTTCTTTATTATAATCTGTTAATTCAGATGAATAGATATTATTGTTTGTTAATAATTGTATCATTTCCTCTATGTTATAGTTGGAGATCCAATTGTCCTTCTTTTCATGAAAGTACCAGAATGCTGTAGCCCATCGAGACATTTTCTATAAAATTAAATCAAAATTTAATTAAATATTAAAAACTAAAATTTAGTAAATTATAACTTAAAATTGACCTAAATTCAGTTTGAAATTTAGGTCAATTTTAAGTTATAATTTACTAAATTTATATATAAAGGAAAAATTCATGTATTGGATCTTCAGTAATTTTGATGTATGCATTCATCGAAGTATATGCTTCGAGATTTATTCTGATGTATAGACCAAGTATTACAAGATGATTTGAGACACTGTTTCAACAGGTTAGCTAACTCAGTTTGATTAGTGCCAAATCATATAGCAAAAAGATCATATAGCATAGAGATCATAGTTTGATACAAGTAGTCACTTTGTTCATTTTATGTTACATCAATATTAAGGCCAAATTCCCTACCTCTTTCTTTGAGAACTGCAAAAAGTTCACGCTATTAATAATATAATTAGTTTTGATTAAAAAAAAAAAAATAAAAAAAAAATAAAAATAAATATATATATTAATAAAATTAATTTTGATTTAAACACTAGTTAAAATTTGCAAAAACAGCACTAAATTGTCAAATATTCAGCTACCGTTTAGTACAATCGTTGCCACTTAGTATTTGTTAATACCAAGTGGCAGCGATTATACCGAATGGCAGCCAAATGTTTGATAAATGATATGCTGAATGTTTGACGATTTAGCACTGTTTTTACAAATTTCAACTAGTAAAAATAAAATAATATCGATATGTCGAGTATTAATAAAATTAGGTTTGATTTAAAAAAATAAATAAAAATATGTCGAATATAATTATTAATAAAATTTTAAATATATACCTAAAGTGCCTTTCTTCTAGCCTTATCATTCTCAAAACCAAGCTGTCTTGCTATTTTCTCTACATTTTCCAAAGAAGCAGGCCTACTTTGTGTGGTTGCTGAAGTTTCAGCTATATTTCCTTCCTTTCACTTGGCCTGTTCCTGTGTTATTGATGTCTGGTGGCTTAAAACCTACAAGGTACTAATGTCTTCACACAAAAATTTAAGTGCATTCTCTAAATCTATTATTTTGTGGTCATAGTCTCTTTGGATATTATATAGATCACTGATTTCAGTCCACAGTAAACGATTTTCTGTGTAAAAAAAAAAAAAAAAAAAAAGATAGTTGTAAATTGAAAGAAAAAGAAAGAAAAATAATAAATTATATTAAAAAAATAAAAAATATATATAAATATTAGTTATAAATTAGTATGAATTCAGCCACTATTTAAATAAAAAAACAAGAAAAAGAAGAAAAAAATAAAATATTATAAATATCAGTTATAAATCAGCATATATTTGGTAATCATTCAAAAAAGAAAGAAAATAATAATTATAAATATTAGTATATATTCATTTAAGTAGAAAAGAAAAGAAAAAATTAAATAAAATATTAGTTATAAATTGGTATAAATTCGTTACTATTTAAGTAAAAAAGAAAAGAAAAAATTAGTAAATAAAATATTACTAATTTTTTTCTTTCTTTTTACTTAAATAGTGACGAATTTATACTGATTTATAACTAAAATCGGTATTTTTACTTTTTTTAATAAATAAAAATTTACTATTCTCTAGCCTTCTATTTCTATTCAATAAATCATAATTCAATAAAGATTCCACTTGTTCACCACTTCCACTTCAGCTTCTACTACTTCTGGTTCTCAGCAGTGAACAAAGTGAACAAACAGGAGAAATAATAATAGCTGGCTAGGTCGAAGTAGTAGATAGTTAAATCAAAGTGGTAGATAGTATGGTCAAAGTAGTAGATAGTTGAGTTGAAGTGATAGTAGATGTTTAGGTCAAAGGAGTGGTGGATAGTTAGGTCGAAGAAGTGGTGGAGGGTTGGGTCGAAGGAGTAGTAGATGGTTGGATCAAAGAAGTAGTAGATTGTAGAGTCAAAGAAGTAGTGAATTGTTGAGTTGCAAATTGAGAAGGTTTAGCTGTTATTGGATATGTTTTGTTCTAGCTATGGCGAAAAAAAGATTAAATTTGGAAGAGAAATTTTTTGAATAAAAATTCAAAGGAAAATTTGAAAATGAAAAGTTCTTCAAAAGAAGCAGTTCAAATTGGTCATATTTATAAAAAAATTTTAAATTCTGATCACTAGTTGAAAAAAATTTTTTTGTTATTTTTCTTTAAGAAAATTTTTATTGGTATCGATTTATGTCATTTCTGAATTAACATGACTTCTAAAACCACATATAAAAAATGATATCTAAACTATAATATGAAATCAAAACAATGTATAACAGTAATTTTTTGCCAAGTAATGATTTACTTTATTTTATATTTAAAACTTATTTACTATTATCATAAGATTTAAAATATTATTCAAAAACTAACATAAGTTAATCAACGGTTTAATATTCTTTGATTAAATATCTCACTATCATTATACTAATTATTTATCTAACTATTGTCTCGATATTTAAAACATTATTTAGAAACAATATAGAGTTAATAGTTTTATGTTCTACAATCAATATATGTCAAATTTTTGAATTTCTAGTCATATGATAGTTGTCAAATTATAGTATTTTAACATGTTGAATTTTTTAATCATATATTATTAGCGCTAAATTATATACCATTGTTGTCGAATTATAACTAAATTTTTTAATTTTGAGTAATATAATACCTAGTTGCATTTAAAATATTAATTTTGACCATGTTTGAGTAATGTGAAATTGTTGAATTGTATATATAGTAATAGTCTTTTTTAATTTTGACTAGTCAAATTATGATATTAATGTTAAATATGTTGAAATTTTAATTTTAACTATCATGTGATAATTATTGAATTGTAGCATTTAATATATCAAATTTTTAATTTCAACTACATTTGACTTTATAATAAAATTAGTTAATAAAATTCAGCCTATACTAACTTGATATATAACTGTTGAATTTTAACAAAATTAGTTCAAAATTTGAAATAAATTCGACTAATGAATTTTAATAAATTTAGAGATGTTGAGTAGTTCACAGAGGGCCTAGTTTAAACCAGAGACTCATGGAACTATTCAGAACCAGTCCGAAACTAGCATACTATTCATATGATATTAATAAAAATCATTTGATATAAATAGGTATCATTTTTTGATACATTAAATAAAATTTAATTAAAAATAAATTAAGAAAAATATTTTTATTAGCAGTAATTTTACAGATATTTCATCACTAATCGGGTGATTAATAAAACTCCGATTGGTGAATTTTAAATAAAATAAAATTGGTAACTAATCAGTTAATTTATATTAGTCTAAATATAATGATAATAATTCATTAATTATTTGTAATGTATATTACTGTATTGAACTATTTCCTAACTAGTTTAGGACTAAGACAAACTGGGACTAGACTGAACTGTATATTTAATATTCCTAATCAAGTAATTACAGCATTTAGGCAGCTGAAATTAGTTTTATATAGTACTGAGGTTTCATATAAAAAATTTAGTAATGCTGAAATGTTTGCTGAAAATATCTTTTTTCAAAAATAATTTAGACACATATGTATATCAAAGGACAACAATAGAACTGGACTGAATGGACTCTAAATAAATTAGTTCACAATTTGACATAAATTCAACTGTCAAATTTTAATAAAATTAAAATTGTTAAGTAACAATTATATACAGTTTAAATATATACAAAATTAAAATTTAATATAAATTTGACAATTTTACATATAAATTTTTCTATTAATTAGCATAACAGAAATATATTCTTTGGAACCTTTTTTATGTACTAGTTTATATTCTCCAGATACAAATTGGTTCAAAATTTGATGAACTAGTATTAAACAATCATGACTAATCAGAAAAAAGTCTTTAGTCTAAAGTTCAATATTGCATAATCGTTTTCTATCCTCATTCATTCCAAAATAGAATCTTGTAGAACTATTAGATATGAGTTTATACTAGCGTACAAATGCTAGATAATGTTTGAATTCATTATTATTAATATTAAATGTATGTCAAATAAAGTATTGTATTTGACCAACATATGTATCATAAGAAACTCTATCTTGATTAATAAATTTTGCTATTATAAAGGAGCTTCTTATATGCTGAATTGATATAGTTAACCCAAATATTTCTGAACCAATTCGCAGATAGCCAAACTGATCTCCGAATGAATTAATTAATATTGAATTTTTATTCCTATCACTACTAAATGGTATCTGGAATGAATGTTGAGGATATGCTACTAAATAAAATTCCAATAATAGGTTTAATATTTCATCAGATATCATTATATGAATTTTTGAAAGAATCAAAAATTCTCTGAGAAAATCTTCAATACTACTAACTGAACTTGTTTTAATGCTCCTTGATATTTGAAGAAACCTTTGTAACTCATCAGTTTTAAACTAGTCTGTTGCTGCTAAGCTTCTAACTGCTTTTTTTGCTAAAAGCAAATCAAGCTATTTTGTAGTACTTGTTTAATTAATTAAATCATTAACTATAGAGTCTTGCATAAGCCGGTACATTAATTCTGGTTCAATTTGTCAACAACTATTTGGAAGTGAACCAAAGTAGCTATTCATTCACTCGAATGAAAAACACCAGAATGCATAAAGTAGTTCATAGTCAAGGGAATATTGATTAATATGGAGTGCTAGATAAAGATTTAGTATAATATATTTTTTACCATATTCTTCTTCAATTTGCTTAATAAGAAGAATAAACTGATTATGTGTCTCTTTTAGCACAGTTATATCAATAATTTGACAGACCAAAATTGTACAAATGCGTACAAAATTTGTAAGAATTCTTTGATTTAGTGTTGAAAAATGATCTCATAGACAGAGTGTTGCATAAATTAAGATAAATGTTTTCTATTCATTAGCAGTAAAATTAGCAAATCCCTCACCACAGTATACCTTTCTTGGAATTCAGCTAATGTTAGATAGGACCTAGATTTCTGACATTTTTTTTGAATTTGCTTTAATTGGCTTGTATTTAATTTTCTATGATTGATATATAATCATTTTATAATTCATTTTGCAATGTCTAAAAATAAGTAATGCATTGGGTCAATAGCCAAAAACCAAATAGAATTAAAATATAGCAACTGAAGTAACTTAGACTACTGAACATATATAAGTTTTTCATGCTGTTTTCTACCTAATTTAGTAAAGTACCTTCACTATTGTTTAGCATCTTGTTGATGTTGGGCTAAGTCATATTTAATAAACTATGTATTAATATCATCTATACCTCCGAAATAGTGATGCCTATTTTCAAATTGTATTTTCTTTTCATAATAATAGCAGGCTACTAATGCTGAGATATAGCTACAAAGCTTTCGAGCTGCAAGTATATCACATAAACATAAAATTAATGCTGCTCAGATTATCTTTTCAGATGGGTTCTCATAAGTTGAAATTTGAACACCATTCTAAAATCAGCATAGTTTATCAACTATTGGTGCAAGATAGTAGTTGATATAGTATAGATAAACTTTATTTGGACCTGATAAAATGCTAAGAATCATTATATTTTCAGCTTTAAATTGAAGTTCTCTTGGTAAGTTAGAAATAGCTATATAAATTACACTAATAGTATACTGAGTTTCATCAAATAGCTAAAACCAGTTCAAATTTAATATAAAGCCAAGATATGTGTCTACTGATTCTTCTATAAAAAATCGGCCACCAATCAACTTCTTATCAGCAAATTCTTTCCAAATTTGACTATCATAAATATCAGAAAGTATACCTTCAAGAACAGTGCGATGAGACCACTTTCAACATAATTGTTCAAAATTGGGACACATATATATTTTTTCAAGTTGGCTTTTGATTCTTGCAAAAGAATAAAGTAAAATCAGTTTATTAATAGTATCTTTTAGATACTGATTTTGTATTACTAATGCTGAATTACATGTAACTATTTGCCTAGATCTAATTATGTTTGAAAATTCAATATGGTTACATGTTTTTATTGATAATTGCCTATTATTATTTTGTGAATTTTTTTTTTTTTTTTTTTTTTTTTTTTTTTTAC